ATTCAAACGGTCCGATGGCCTTGAGCCTACGGCTCCGAGGAGCGGCGTGCATCCGGATTTGTCGAATATATTGGGGTCGGCGCCAGCCTCCAGAAGCCAACTTATGAGAACCGGAATGTGCGCCTTTGCTGCATCCACCAGCAAAGTCGGCACATAATCATGTCCTCGGGCTGAAATTCCGTGTTCAACCTCTGATATAAGCCTTTTCGTTTCTTCGTCAAATTTCAGCTTCAGGGTCGATTCGAGAAACGTCTTCCCTGTCTGATCTTCAGGCATGAGTCGTGTCCCAGCACTTAGTAGCAAGTTCGTCAAACTTCGGGCGTGCTGGTGAGTAGGATCGATGTCGAAGAACGCGGTCCCACCTATGCTGTCGGCGCCATTTGGGTCCACATTGAACTCAAGTAATACTTGCACTAGAGCCGGATCCCCCTTGTGGACAGCAAGACGAAGGGCGGTTGGGCCTTTCAAATCTCCATATCGGGTACTCTCACCCTTCTCCAGGAGCATCCTGACGATGGTGGGTTGACCAGTGAGTACGGACAGGTAAAGAGGACTGATGAAGCAACAAGATTGATTTATGTCAACTCCATTGTCGAGAACCCTCTGGACGAGAGCGTCATCCTTGGATATGATAGCCTCACGTAGAGAATAGGCGAGCGTATGATCTCGGTCGCAATGAACTTGACTCGCCTTGACCAGAATCTTCTGAAGAGCGACTCTCTCCATGTCAGCCATGTACTGGAGAAAAGTGAGATCCCGATTGTTTATGCAATCTATGATGACGGCACTTTTTTCGACAAGGACCCTGATCATCCGCTTGTCTCCAAGCTTGATGGCTCGGTGCAGAAGACGATCATGGAAAACCGCACCCGCCTCGACCAGAAGCTCGACAAAATACGTCTTGCCAGTCGCAATAGCCAAGTATAAGGGAGGCTCCCGGATTGATATCCGCACCCCGCTTGATCAGAAACCCAGCAATATCTTTTTGGTCGGCTTCGATAGCGTAAATTAAAGGAGATTTGAGCTGATGATCAGCTCTATTAACGTCCGCACCTCTTTCGATCAGAAGCTCGACGATATGACCTTGATCACTTTCAATAGCGTAGTGTCAGGGAGTCTTGAGCTGATGATCAGCTTTATTAACGTCCGCACCTCTTTCGAGCAGAAGCTTAACAAAGGATTCGCGCTGTTGGATAGCAAGAATCAGAGGTGACCCCTGTTCTTCGCAGATGGCGTTGGGCTCGATGCCATTTTCCAGCAGTAACCTGACTGTTGCGGCTTGGTGACTCAGACAAGCCGCATGCAATGCGTTGGCACCGCTTGGAGTCGTCTTGGTAAGATCCATCTCCTGGCGTTGGCAGCCATATTTCCAAATTTCTTCAGCAGCTGTGCTCGAGGACAAGCGCGAAGGGCGCACATCCTGATGTTGGTTTGTTGAGAAGTGTTTTGAGAGAAGAAACTTGGTCATCTGAAAGCTCGTTCCGGCAGAAACCATAAGCAGGGGTCTTCGGTGTTTATCTTCCGCGTTTGGATTGACCCCTGCATCAAGCAACAGCTCTACAATCCCGGTATGTTGTTTCTCTACAGCTGTCACGAGAGCGCTGGCCATCTGCCGAGGCGATTCTGAAACGTTTCCTAACCCAACATGACGCACCCAAGCTTCTACCGTACTTGTATGGCCCAAGTAAACGGCTGCATGGAGAGGTGACGAGAACCGCTGGGACGAGATCGGACTCCGTGCTCCATTCTGACGAGGTAGCATATCTTTCTGACGAAGTCGCATATCGACAAGTGATGGCAAGCCAAGCTCCGCAAAAATGTACAAGGCAGTTGTTGACATGGTGTACCTTCGTGTTCTGAACTGCTGCAGTAGGTTGTGGAGCCGAATCCAGTCTGATAGTTGGAACTTTTGAAAGGATAAATCTTGTGGAAGTCTCATCCGTTCCACAGCATCGCAATGATCTAAAATATGGTTCGTAGAGTAATCGAGGAATGGGAACTTCTCAGTTACTTCGAGCTTGAAGGCCTTTGCCGCATCGGTGCCTACAGTTAGAAGGAAATTCTCATCCGAAACGTACGAAGAAATGTCGACTCCCATATAGGCATGACAGCAATCCCTGAGTCGTTCATGGCTTCTGCCTTCAGGGTTATCTCCAAGTTCCGGCCACAGAGACTTGAGGCCGTCTTCCTTGAGAAGGAAATCCCGTACTGATTCGTGTATAAACTGAACTGTCGATTTCTTTGATTTGGTTGTTTCAGCAAGCCCCTTCGAGGAACTGACCACGAAGTGGTTCATAGATTCTCTCGAGATTTGCTCAGGATTCCACTCAGAAATACTCTCAGGATCAACACCAGCCACCAGTGCGAAGTAGTACTCTTCAGGCTTCAGAGGGCGCTTGCCGAAGAGTAACCACTGAATGCACAACAGAAGCTCTCCCATATTCTTCTCGTCTCTCATCAAGATATTTTTGAACAGATTACTCAACTCTGGAGGTATCTGTTGAAGTCTCTTCTTCACCGCAAAAACACGACCATCTTGAAATTCCTGGTTGAGAATGTCGATGACCAACACTACCCACATAAAGACCCCGGACGCTTTCCGGAGTATCTCTTTCGTGAGCTCATCCGCCTGCTTTCTTGTCTCAGTTCTAAGCTTACTTCGCACGTACTTTTCCAAGTCCTGCTCATGGCCTAATTGGTTTTCTAAAGTGAATCGAACACCGTAGACAACGTCCATACGGGGGTAATGGCGACTAGAGAAGCAAACGTAGAACCTGATGTTATTGTGGACAGCACATTGTCCTAAGTCTTCAAAAAAACCCAGTAGTTGTCGGACCTCGCTTTCGTCACATTCGTCGAGAGCGTCAATGAAGCATGTGACTTGTCGTTGGTCGAGCTTTGATATTGCAGTCGCAAAGAGTCTTCGCAATACAGAAAGATCCCAAGCGCCCGAGTCTTTTCGAAGGAACGTTCCACGATCTCCATCTCCCAATACCTCCTGTAGCTCAGGAATTTTCTCCAATAGTTGAAGTAGAAGAGATCTGTGCATTCCTTCTGTGGATTTCTCAAGCAACCCTCCTCTAGCGTTGAAGAAGAAGGATAGAATGGCAGCATTTTTTGCAGCCTTCAGCCCTGCACGCGAGTAGGCATATTTCATGAGGGTGGATTTTCCTGCCCCTGGCTTTCCCCGAATCCAAAGGATGCCATGGTGATTGGTGAAACTTTTGTCATCCAGCCAGCGAATGTAGTCAGGATGCTTCAGCAGCCACTGGCATGTTTTGGTATGAGCAGATTTGATGGTTGAATGTCGACTGTCGATTTCTTCAAACCTCAGGGATTCAAGAGAATCATTCCGACGATCGAATAGCGAAACTTCGTCTACATCAACGTCAATATTCGGTCACAATTGCTGTGGTTGGAAAAACACTGACGAGAGGATACTATATTGACATCCGCCATGGAGTCCTGGCGGATTTCTTCGGACGGAAAGACGGAAAGGAGCTCCTTTGCATAGGCTGATGCGGTCGCTGCAGCATACTCTTGCCATTGCTTGGCCTTGTGTGAGTCTGAATAATCGCAGATCCCCCTAATGACTAGGCATGGAAAGCTATCCATCAGGCCGGCGGCTTCCATCTCGAAACAGAGAACCTCAAGCTCATTTGCGAGACGATGCCGCGTCTGCCCATGTTTCATGACCTGATTTGCGGATGCAATGATACCGTAGTGAATCTTCGGGTAGTTGTTGGACCTAGGGCCCCGTATCACCAGCTGTGACAAATCGCAGTCGTCGCAGCTCTCCCCAACGTGATCATATGTGGCTCTATAAAGTCGGTCCTGTCCAGCTCCGCGGTATGTGTACGCATCCATCATGATGTTTCGTTCTCTCATGTCTGCGAGAAATTCTGGCATCCGACTAGGAGACAGCTGATGGTCGGCTCGCAACTTGGCGACTGCGGCAAGAACGTCATGTGGAGGCTTGTTTAGTGTTCCTGAAAGTTGGAAACGACCTGCCTGAACAGTTTTCCCAAAGTCGTACTGAATGACTCCAGAACAAGCCGCAGTCGGATTGCTGACCACGACATCGCCGAGTCGGATGTCAACTTTATCGGGCACACCGCCACCGATACCGACCATGAGTCGTATTTTGATTGAGGGAAAGCTCCAACGCATGTTGTTTGCAACCAATGCGGCACTGGTGATGCCGTACTGCCCTGATGGCAGGCATGCGATGACAATGTTGTGATTTCCTATGTTGCCAAAGGCATAGACGTTGCTGTCGTTTGGGTTCATCGATAGAGGCAGATGGACATCGTCGAGCATCGCTTGCGCAGCGGCCATCTCGATGGGGAGAGCCGCGACCCATCCGACAGTATACGCATCATGCGACAACAGTTTTAGAACCCGTGTCGAAGAATCGCTATCTCCATGACCGGACTCATTCAACCTAGCCCTCTTCCTCGGAGTATGATTGCGATCATCGTCCGCAATGGCCGAGTCCCATGTTCGCCTCCCTTGGTGGGAGGCATCCGCGTTGACACGATGCGACGCGAGTACGGTGCTATTGTGATGCCTATCGTATGCCGCCATTCTCCGAAAGACGGAATGCGAATCGAAGGAGCCTAACGTAGCCTTGTCTCCTCGACGGGCTGTGGAGGACAGGCATGCTCAGATGGAGATCGGGAACGTGTTGTCCAGTACAGCGACAGGTATTGAAATCTACTTTGACGTCTTTGAGCTGTTTGGAGAGGCAGGTGTCAATCGGAGACGAGCGAGATGGCAGTCGGGTGCTGAAGACAGACAAGAGTTGAAATGGAGCGGAGTGTTGTGAGCACGCCGCAGCGATGCCTCGGGTATATTTCATTTGCTACAGTTGCACACTGCCTCCACCCAACGTGATCAACGGGGCGCTTACCGCTGTCTTGCGTCGAAATATCTACCATGCTTCCTGTGATTGGAGGCGAAATGGGTCCAACATGCAGGCTCTGCGGCGCAGCGCCCACCTACACTACGGATTTCCCTCCTTCGTGGCCAGAAGTCGACAGATTACGAATACTCAGCGTTCGTATTCTAGGCCTCGCTTCTTCATGGTATTCTAATTGATTCTTCTGAAAACGCATGTCGCCAAACAACGTCGGTGGGAATATCTTCTGCCAATGGTACCACATCAAAGCCGTCACAATGGTTACTGGAATGGCGACAACCCAGTACACCCAAAACTTGTCAGACATAAGCCACTCGCCTGAGCCAGAGTCAAACTCGAAGAAAGTAGTGCTGAAGACGGCAGAGACGAAAGTGGCTGGAAGAAACAGTAGGGTAAGAAAGGCGACCGTCTTCATAGCTTCGCTATCTCGTTGTGCCGCGCGGCCGATATCGACCGAGACTCCAGAATCGAATTGAGCAACCATGTTGAATGCAAGTGCAATCTCGTTGAGAAGTCGTGCCTTGTTCGAGGCGGACCTCTCTTGCAGGCTGTCCAGCATGTCCTCGAAGAACAGCAGGCGACCGTTGGCATGCTTCCAAGCCCTCTTCCAGGCAGCATCAGGCTGCGCCCCACTCCAGTCTGCCTTAACGGTCCCGTGTTGCACCAGAATCTGCCTGGCAGCCTTCACAGCTAATTGTAATGTCTCAGAAACGTGAATTGCATGTCGGGCAGTCTCGTGCAAATGCCGGTAGTCGGGGGCCGGTTTTGGCTTTGTCGGGCCGTCCCTCTCCTTCTCTGTGTTCCTCACGGTATCGCGCACCGACCAGACGGCGGCGTCTTGCAGAGTGACGACTTTCTCCAAGATGCGAGTATATATCCAGTATGGAGTTATGTAGCTGTGTTCATCTGGGATCACGAATAAAGGATCCGGCTCGCCAACCGGCACGCGCTCAACGCAGCTTGCCGTGGGCGGATGAAGGTCGAAAACGACGAGAATTGTTTGTTGTGTTTTTGCGATCCATCGCGTGAAGATGTTCAGCTTGAACCATTCGTACCCCGGATGGTACTTGTTTGTCAATTTGATGGGAAATCGTGCCCATGTATCTGAGATATGTTAGCTTCTTCGAACCGTGGCGGCATGGGAACGTACTCAACCCGGTCTCTTCGCCCTCATCGTCAACCGTCACCTCGTGGCCAAAGTAGGCGTTGGCACCTTTGCAATACCCTTTCCACCATAGATCTGGTATCTCAAATACGGAAGAAAATTGCTTGCGGCAGTTTTGACATTGGCGAATTTTAAGGGCCTGGGCCTCACTGGATGAGCGTTAGTAGAGAGAATCGTGGATGATCACCGCACGCACATGATGCAAACATCAAAGTCAATCGTTGGCAGTATTTGGCCTTCCTGTGATGATTCACGTCTGAATTCTGTCCAGTTTTCCCCGGTTCCTGTTGGTTTGGTTAGCTTGACACGATCAGAGATCGATGGATGCGTACCTTTTTTCCAGCAGGAGAACTTCAGCTCATGGCAATTTGCGCAGGTCTTATTATCCATGGTAACGAACTTCAGGACGAAGAAGATGACTTGTATGTGTTGAACCCGGGCAACGACAAGACGAGAACAACGATATGTAAATCGTCTTGAAGATCAGGCTTTAGTGAGGGGACGGCAAGTCCGCCCCATGTTGCTGCATGACCAGGCCGCAGTTAGTGGACCAGGGCGACAAACGCCAATCACGTTGGGTGACGTTGTCGCAGTGGTTGACTGTGTCGTTTGCCTTATCGCCCGAGAGTGACCCGTGACATCGTCGCACAAGAAACGATGCTCGTGTTTCCATTTTGATCGTCGATGAGTCTTTCGAGATGCAGTCGTAGTCGTTAATTACGAAGGCTGGGCTCTGTAAGGAGGCTTAAATCGGGGAAACGGACGAGAGAAGATCGGGAATATGAGACCACGAGACCACACAGGTGAGTCGCGACGCAAATCTCAATCAGATTGGCAGGCGGCACATGCAGCATCAAGACATTGTCGTCTGCAGAGAAGAAATAAAGTGGAGAATGATGCCCGGTCGGTGCCCAGAAGAGGGTCCCTCCATCTCGACTCCGAAGCAGGGTTCTCGCGGGATGCTTGGGGCAGCCTCCACTACGAAACGGGGTCGATGGGGAGATAGCTCAGGGGCCAGGCCGCTAGTCTCGATCTCATAGACCAATCAGAGACCCCCGTTTTCAAGCAGGCAATCACGGCTGGTTGACGCGAGCGCTGAAGGGCGCGCCTCCGGGAAGCTTGTGCCGCTGGGACCTGAACAAAAGAAGCCAGCTGGAAGGAACCGGCGTTCGTACCTGTGTATGATCCTCGTACCCCCGCGCCGTGGATACGTGGAATGTGAACCTTCGCAACTCCAATCCTTTGATTAACAATCCGCTTCGGTCCGAGCTTGCGGATAACCTCCATTCTATTAAAGACCAATCTCCATGTCACCCATGCGGTTCTGAGCAGCAATCCCGGCTTGACCTTTTTATCCATTTTCCCCATCGTCGTCCGTGAGATCCGCCGAGATCGACCATGGGTTGGCCGTACAAATTTCTCGACCTATCCCGCGAGGAGGTCCAGTTGAGACGGCAGACCTTGGACCGGTATGGCACGTATGCCCAGTTCTCGGCTTTGACGCCCATCATCCTGGCTCTTCTCCTTCGTTTGTTCGTCTATCTCAAACAGCGAGTACAAGCGAGCGCCGCCTACGATGCAGTTCCGGACTCTCCAGACCTGAAAGCCAGGAGGCAAAGCTGGGTTGGCAATCTGGATGCGAATGTGAGGAAAGTGAAGTGGTGGCTGAACGATGATGTCTACTTTATGGGACAGCATTGGGGTCAGAAGGACCAATGGGTCTTTGGTGTGGCTTGGTTCGCTTGGCTGCTTGTTCTGTCTACCTTGGAGACTGGTGAGGGTAAGTGGCAATCCTTTTCATTCGTCAATAAGAGACTCAATGGGTTTGGAGAAGTTGGTTGATGATGATTTGGTCAATTTGCCATAACAATTGGACGTACTGACGTCTCACAGACTATCTCCACATCACGAAACGCTTCGGTATCGTTGCCGTGTCACAGATTCCATTCCAGTATCTGCTGGCCTTGAAGAGCTTCAGTCCCATCGCCAAAGTCTTTCGCACTTCCCACGAGGAGCTAAACAAATGGCATCGAGTATTGTCTCGAGTGACATTGTCACTCCTCGTCCTCCACGCTCTCTTTTACCTCAACTTCTTTGTCGCCAAGGGTATCGTGACAAGCCGTCTGTTCGCCCCCGTCGTCTTTGCCGGTGTCGTCGCCTTTGCAGCCATGAACATGATGATTTCGACCGCCACTGTCGCTATTCGCAAGTACTCCTACCGAATCTTCTTCATCACTCATTTAATTGGGGCATTTGCTATCCCGCCATTGGTTTTCTTCCACGCCAAATCCTCCCGGCTGTTCATGGCCAAAGCCATCATCGTGTTCCTCATTGACCTCGTTGTACGCCGTCTGCGCACCGTCATGGCCTTTTCCAAGCTAGAGACCATCCCTGGGACCAACCTGGTTAAGATCTCAGCTTCAATCCCTCAGTTCAAGGTCAACGCTTTCCGCAGCCGGCCGGGGTCCCACATCTATCTCAGCATCCCCGCCGCCGCGAGACCCGGTGGCGGTCACTCGTCTTCGGAAGCTCTGCTTTACGAGTTCCTCTTCAACCCCTTTACCGTGGCTTCTGTTGACGAGGAGACCGGTGACTTGACCCTCGTTGCTCGCCAACTTAACGGCCCGTTGACCCAGCACCTTGGCTACTTTGCAAACGCGGGAGGCGGCAGCGACGGGAAGACCCCGCTCTGCATTGAGGGCCCCTATGGCGCGGCATCTATCCATTTCGACAAACTCATCGGCTCGACCGTCGATCGTGTTTTGTTGGTGGCTGGCGGCGTGGGAGCCACCTTTACCGTGCCCATTTACCAGGCCATCCTCCAGGATAACCCGAGTGCCAAGGTCGAGATGGTCTGGGCCGTCCGGGGAGCCGGTGACGCAACTTGGGCCATGACCACCGACAAGTCGCCCAAGAGCTTGCTTGAGGATAGCAACGTCCAGATTTTCTTGACGGGCGACTCCCTCAACTCCGCTACCACGGGACCCATGGCTGGTGTACCCGCCGAGACCAACGCAGACGACGAGATGGAGATGAACCCCATGTACCGTGACCGCACGCGAAATCTCTTTACAGCGGACCACAACCGCAAGCGCCCCAACCTCAGGAATATTGTCGACGACTTCTTCAGGCAAGGTGCGGAGGAGAGGGTGGCCGTGCTCGTGTGCGGGCCCACGGAGATGGGCAGGGAGATGCGGGAATATGTCGGAGCATGGGTCATGAGGGGCCGCGAAGTGGTGTGGCACAATGAGGCCTTTGGATGGTGACCTGCATGTTTGTGCTGTTTCTGCGGGCTGAAGATTTGGACAGTTTCACATATACATTGGAACTCCGGGGCTGGCGTATACATAATTTGGACTGCTTAGATATAAAAGTAACACTTGTTTACACTTTTCGAATTGTACAATCAACATAAAAGTCATGGCACATATTTCAAGAAGCACCATCAGAAACCTTGGCAATTTTTCTCTATGACGAAACACGCTACTAGGATGAAGCCTTCCGAACGCCAGATCGTAACTCCGTGGTCATCCATCATACATCAGTCTCCCTGTTCTCGTGGAGTATGCACTATTCAGCCCGCTTCTTGGGCTCGCCAATGTCTCCAGAGTCAACGTCCTTGCCCTTGACTCCGCCAATGTCACCGTCGGCATCGTCTTCGTCCCAATCGTCCACCTGATTCTCGTCCCAATTGTCCACCTCTTGTTCAAGCGTCCGTCCGCTGCTGCCACCCACGTCGCCGCCGTCCCACGCACCACTCGACTCGATGACGCCCGTCTCGTGGCCCTCGCCGAGCTCAACATCCTCGTCATCCTCTCCCGGGACAGGTGCGTACGTCTTGGTGCGGCGTTTACGTTCGAGCATACGCTTGTGATACCATGAGCATAGCCCTATGCTCGCCAGGGAGCCCACAACGTTGGCAACAATATCGTAAAAGTCGAACTCGCGGCCGTTGGGGAGGAAGCCCTGCAGGAACTCGGAGCCGACTCCGAGGACGAACGTGCAGACGGTCAAGGTGAGGTTGAGAGTACGGCGGCGGTTGGTATCGAGAATCCAGTAGAAGACGAGCGTCAGGAGGAAGAATGTTGCAAAGTGCAGGACCTTGTCGTTTACATATTGGCCCAGCTGGAGGGAGGTAAGGCCTGCGTAGCCAGCGACGAGGAGGAGGGCGAAGAAGACGCCTGCAGCAGACCAGTGTTAGCTAAGAATATCCCTGGCAGACATGGGGAGCTCGATTCGGATCTGCGAGACGGATGGATCCCACCCAGATGGAGGGCTAGATCCAGGGCCAGCTGAAGCTTTTGACGCACCTGCAAAGGGCAAGCGTATCCGCATTTCGAAGGGTCCTGCGGCTCTTGCAGGGTGTGGTTTGATTGGATGGGATGCAGTGTATGTAGCTCGGTTCGTGGTCGAAGTGAGCGTTGTGCGTGGGTTGACTCGGTAAGGGTAGCAGTAGCTTAGCTACTAGGTGTCATGATGGGACGGGATGGTCGAAGTGGTTGCTCAAGGCGAGAGAGAGAGAGCGCACGGCAAGACAGTGCAGGTAAGTAATGAGGAAAGGGTATTCGTAATGGGGTTCGTCACAGACGAGGGTGTGAGGTGTGTCCAGCTGGCCGGAGCTTCCAGACGACTGGATCGGGAGGGAGAGAGCTTTTGCTGGGCTGCCAGGTATTGGATTGGATTGGATTGCTGCGGGAACAAGCACCACCTCCGTCCACTGGGAATCGGGCAGAACTCAGCCCACTGACGAAAGAAGATGTGCACCGCACCACAAGCTGGTGGCGGGCGGGACCTGCTGGACGCCCCAGGCTGCGAGGGACGAGGACAGGGGTATGCCCCCGAGGTTTTTTTTGGGGTCGGTACTAGGTGGCCCGGGCGGGTTATCCCGTGGGCCGTGGAGGGCATGGAGAGAAGCGCGAGTCGCGATGTCTCGTCTGGGAGGACGCGTGGTGGCCTCTTTTGATATGGCGGATGGTTAAATGTCAAGGTGCAGCGGGATGAGGGTGTCGCAACAGCGGTGGTGGATTATCAAAGTGGTCGCCGAAGCGCACCGGACTGACCTGTGCAGTCAGCACGCATCACCAGCCCGGCGCAGCATTACAGAGCCTGCCGCAAGCCAAACTCTGCTGTTCACTTGCTGGGCTCATTGCGCACAGCGACGGGTTGGTCATCCGTCACGTGACGACATCATACGCGATCCGATCGCTGGGGATCCAAGGGGGGAGTGCGGTGGCCTGGTCGCCTCGCGCCGTCGTCGGCACTCAAAGTTCCTGTACCTGCAGTCGGCGACCGCGACACTCAACATGACCCCAGTGCACGTCTTTTCTGGGTCCGAAAAATAGATGAAAGTGGTGATTAGCAGTAAAAGAAGCCTCTCTGTAATTTTGGGA